TAAAAAAGCCATATATGCTCCTGTTTCAGCACTGAAGAAGGGTTTGTGGGCAGGGAAGCTTGAACATTATTAGGATTTTTTCACTTCAAGTATCTCAGATGAATAAAAAACTACGCCCTGTCTTTGCTCACATCTCCCACTGCCACCCTGTCCCTGTCCTGGGGACTGTCCTGTGTCACACAGTGACGTGGCATACTGAACCTGCAATCTGCCATCAACCGGAATTTCAGGTCCTCGTCGGGTTGTAGGGTTTGGCCGGTTTGTTCACATCCATTTCTGGACGCACCCCAGAGCACCCCTGTGCTGGGGACACCGGGATTTACGAGGGGAAGAGCAGCTGAAGCCTTTCCCCTTTCACTTGGGGGATGCATGGCATCACCAGCCCACCTGACTGCTGGGCACCACGATGGTAGCCGTGCTCTTCACCACCACCCCACGCTCCCTGCCAGCCCAAATCTGACCAACGCTGGCTCAGAAATATGCTCCGTGGAAGGGAACACCAGCCATGGGATATAAATAAGAGAAAGCTGCCGTGTCTGCCAGCCCCGACACTGGGTGGGATCGCACCGAAGGAAGCCCCAGCAAGCCCAGGGATGTGTTAGACGCCCGATCTGTGCTGGCTTAGTGCTGGCTTACTGGTTATACTGGGGAAAGTGCTGATCAAACGGGGAAGTGTATGGGTCTGAGCACAATGCAGGCACTCCCGTCACTACAGACAGCTCGGTCTGGGGGTATTGGGTGCCGCAAAGGTCACTCAGTGCAAAGAGCATTGGAAAAAGAAGAAAAATAACACAGAGCCTGGATGGGACAGTGTGCATGAAAGGCAATGGTGAGCGTGAATAGGCCAAGAGGGATTTGGCCTACTGGCAAGAAAACATCTCTGGTGTGTCTGGATCGGCTTGCTGGAAGCACGCTGGCCAGCCCAGACAGCACCGGCTTGGCTCCGTCAGCTGCAGACAGGGAGACGATCCAATCCCGCGACGCAAAGCCGGCGGCTGACCCAGGACGCAAAGCCGGCGGCTGCCTCAGTGCGGGCTCCTCGAAAAGCTGGTCCCCGAGGTGGGAGCCGGCATTAGCAACAACGTGGCAGGGAGAAATGAACGGGGTCTCGAGCCGGGAAGCGTTTCAGAGCCCGCGAGCGAGCGACCGTGAGGATGCTGCGAGCCAGAAGGGTGGAAAAGCCCCTGACCACCTAATACCCAGCGCACGGGGGAGCGGTGAAGCGGGGTTAGCAGCCAAACCAGGCAACGACTGCAAATACACCTGAAAAAGAGCACCCTGCGGGGGATCTCTTCTTCAACCACTGTCTCTATTCCCAAATATCCCATTTTTTTTGCCCCCAGTGACCCTGGGGAGATGCTGCTGATTTGAAAAATAACTTGTGGCTCTGCCATGTACACTCACCGAAATCATTTTTCTTTATTGCATATTGCCATCTTAGAAAATGTACAGTCTCATAACATTACACAGCATTTCCCACTAGCTAAGACTACTAACATCCTTGCACCTAACAGACTACCTTGGTCACTATGAAGCTAATAAGGTCCAAGACATATACTTCAGTTTACAAATTATTATGGATTTTTTTTTTTCCTTTTTGGCATTATTAACAAAAAAATCATCTTTAAAATACACACCCAAGAAAAAAGAGTGGCTACTTACACCAGCACCAATCTAAAAGTAGTTTTCGACAATGGCACATGGAATTACCTGCACACAGCCTTTGTATTTATTTAAAGAGATATACTTTTTTTTCTATTTTTTTTTTCTGGAAAGAAAACAAAGAAATGGCAAACTCAGCCCAATAACGAGGCTGTTGTAAAACAACCATAAAAAAACCAAACAGGTTTGGAAGGGCAAGAGGAAATCTGTCAGGAAAGGTCCTGATGTGGCACGGGGGTCACAGAGGCAGGAGCCAGAGTGGGTGCTGGCGGCTGAGCCCCGCACCCAGGGATCCCGGGAGGCGATCGCCCTCTCTGACTCTCACCACCTTTCGAATTAAACACGTGTGACCAACCATTCCTTAAACCATCAGAGGCCAGACTTTTTTCTTTTTAACCTTTTTTTTTTTCTTCTTGATTTTTATATTTGAAATTCCCCCCAAAGTCCATTCCCTCAATTGTATCAGCCCCATTTTTTCAGCCATAAATAAAAAATATAAATAGAGGCACTTTAGTTAAGGAATAGTATTATCATTACCTTTTGTCTTTATTTCCCCCTCCTTCTTAAAGCAAAGTGCTTAACTCCACCTTTGAACAAAATCTGCAGGTTTTGCAGCTGCGTGGATATGAGGTGCTGGACTTCTTTTTGCGCTTACTTGCTTTATTTATTACTGCTTTAAATGCTACTCAGAAAGTCTTTTCTTTTTTTTTCTTCTTTTTTTTTTTTTTAATCTACAGTGCGTCAAAAGTTGCAACAAAGAAAAGAACAAAATGGTAAAACCACAGCTCTTGACAACTCTGGTTAGAAAGGGATTTCACAGCTTTCACTCAGCACGCAGACCCCGCGGCCTTCAGGTGCTTAGAACCGTAATTTTTTATACAAATTAGTTTAAACAGCACTTTTGCTATACAGTGCATATAGTTAACTGACATCCCATACCCCACCAGTAATACCAATTATCTGACAAAGGAAAAAAAACAAAACCGTATTTCAAATAGTGTTAATATCTAGTGCAACAGGGACAAACTCATCTCTCCACAGGAAAAAGAACAAACAAACGAAAAAAAAAAATTTTTATACAAATTAGTTTAAACAGCACTTTTGCTATACAGTGCATATAGTTAACTGACATCCCATACCCCACCAGTAATACCAATTATCTGACAAAGGAAAAAAAACAAAACCGTATTTCAAATAGTGTTAATATCTAGTGCAACAGGGACAAACTCATCTCTCCACAGGAAAAAGAACAAACAAACGAAAAAAAAAAAGGATCATAAAAGGATTGGTGGTATAAAAAGGTTTTGTCTTCTTAAAAAACACACCACAAATAAATAAAGGTAAAAAGTAACAGTCCTCTATATACTCAGCATAATTTAAGAATAGAAATGTTAATATGTTAATGGTGGTTACTTTTTATTCTCCAATTCTTAATTTTCTAAACCTTTAAATTATTACTCCCTGAGAGCTTTGAAGTTTTTTTTTGTTTTGTTTTGTTTTTTTGTTTTTTTTTGGACTGACATTTGACAGGTAGTTCTGCTTACAAATTTGCAACGACAACGAACAGCAAACCAGTCGAAAAAGAACCTGGCTGAGAGACAAATGCTTCTTGGCATCGCTGCTTCTGTGTGTCCGGTAAAGGAAAGAGGAAAGAAGGTGGGTGAGAGCCGGCGGGTTTTGCACCAGCCCCTTTGTATATCAGAGACCTTCGGTCCTGGCCCACCTTTACAGAGGATACAGTTTGTCCCATTGAACAGAAAGCAAGAAGAAAAATTACAACGCAAAAGTTTATGCTCTTTGTCTCCTCCGAGAACCGACCTTTCCCACCGTCCTGGGCCAGAAAACATTGTAAAAGTATAAATACATCTGGGTGGCGTTAGAGCGATAAGCACTTTGGGGTAAACCTTTTCCTTTAGCAAGGTGATGGTAAGAGGAAGAAGAGCGTTTCTCAAGGATGACGGGAAGAGCATCGCGGCGCCGAGCTCGGGAACCAGCGCGAAAGCACGGATCTGCGAGTTTTTGGGAATAATCACAACAACGAGAGAAAAAAAGCAAACACAACCAACGGATTAAAGTTCAGTCAACTTTTTTTTTTTTTTTTCTTTTCTTCTTTAAACCGCTCGGCTTGTGCGCAAGGAGTCCCCCGCCAACGGCCCGGGAGGGGTCCCAGCAGGAGAGCGGCGGGGAGCGCCTTCCCATTGCCTTTGGGGACCACGGGGACTGCCAGCGTCTCCAGACTGGGTCCCCTCTTGCTCCGTAGACGCAGCTTTGTGCTTGTGCATGGGGAGAACTACTTTTCGGAAGGGAGGAGGCGGCGCTGGCACCCGTCAAGGTGGGCTGCCCACGCACCTCCACCCGCGCCCCCGACCCGACTATATACACAGTCTACACACACACACACTCGCCCACGGGGAGAAAGAGCGTGCCGCTGTTACGCTTTGAGTCGCAAGGCAGTATAGTGGGACTGAAAAAAAGACCACTAGGCACTTCAAACAGCCTAATCCGTGTTTTTTTGCTGGGTTTTTGTTGTTATTGTTTGTTATTCAGAAGTTGAGCTTGGTGACGGGCCTCTTGGCCGCGGCCCTCTTGGCCTCTGTCTGCCAGCTGGTTGGCGATGCGCTTGCGGTTGCGCTTCAGCTTGGAGAGGTCCTTGTCGAAGACTTCGCCCGAGGGCAGGGCTGAGACAGGTCATCGAACTCGCCGCCTTCCTCCCTGCTCTGCTTCGCCTTCCTCGACTTGCGCTCCTGCTCCCGCTGCTCCTTCAGCTACGTGGCATGGGGGGGGGGGGGGGGGGGAGGGGACGATCTCATGAAGGTGGTTGTGGGGTGCCCAACACACACGTGGTGACCCCCAAACCCATGAAACAAGAGCTGTTTCCCGCCCTGGTGCTTAACACGTGAGAGCTGGTCAGAGTTATTGATACACCCCATGGGCTGAGGTCCACAGCCCCATGGCTGCTGCTGGTGGCTCACAGCAGCTCACAGGCAGCATCAGCTCTGCTGTATGTTTTAGCTTCAAGATCTCATCAGCCCAAGGTCGTTAGTTAATTAAGCAATCAATAGTGAAAAGCCAGTGGGTCTAAGAGGACAGAAGCTCCTTGCCCAGTGTTCAGTGCTCCCCGTGCCACCATGGGGACAGCACGGCACGGTTGCCATCCTTGGGTGCCCCAGGGGTGCTGCTCGACTTGCTGGTGCCCACTCACCTGTGCCTCCATGCGTGCCCGGCGCTCCACCTCCTCCTTCCTCCTCCTCATGTTCTCGTTCTCCTGCTTGGCCTCGGTCACAGCTTGAAGGAACTGGTCAAAGATGCCAAAGAACTCGTCAGGCTGCATTTTGTCTGTGTCTTCGCCAAAGTACTTCACAGCCTTGGAAAACTGGGAGAGAGAAGACAGGGGTCCGTCAGTCTCGGAGACACCCACCGTGCCAGTAAACCCCCCATGGGAAGTCTTTGACCTGATGGAGTGGAGAGAAACACTTCCAGCAGCCACGGCGGAGAGCACGGCTTTGCTTTATCAAGCCTTGACTTAAAGATGAAATAAATCATATGATGTTTTACCTGCTGCCCTGTAAGAGCTGACCTGGATCGCTCCCCAGCCCCCTCTCTCCTCTCGCCTTTGGCTCTATTGAGCCTCCCTCCGCCCGAGCTCGACTTTATTAACTAAGCAGCAGTAAAAACAAGGAAGGAAAATATTGTGGGACTGAAGACTGAAGACATAAATCGAATAGTAAACACGGCAGGGGAAGGGAAACTCGCACTTTTAAGTTTTCCTTTGAAGTATTTTTGGGGTATTATTTATCATTGCCACATGCTCCGCCATTGAAACCAAATGTGTGTTGGTGAAATTTCTAAAAGACATTTCTGCCCGGGCTCAGGCACAGCCCTGGGTAGGGAAATAGGGAGTTTTCCGTCCTTTCGTACTATTTGCACACCATTAACGTAAGGGAGTCAAATGAGGCTGTAGCAAAGGTCAGGACAGGACATCCACAATCTGCCCACGCGTCCTGGTCCCCAAGGAGGCCACGAGTCGTCCTTGGGACTGACATCCTTTGTTCTCACTTCCAGTTCGAAGGAGACTCTTTGTGCACCGCAAGTTTGGTAAAATTGTGATGGCGCGTTCTGGAGATAAGCACGCTGAGAAGAAAAACAAAATCAAAGCACCAACAGATTTATTAGTTGCTTTGATTTTGCTGGGTAGACCAAGAGGAACATTTTTAAAGCCTGCCTGTATGATTTAGTTTTATTTGCAGGGGTGCCCCAGGCTCTTCAAAAGACATTTAGGGCATTTTTATTTCTTTGTTTACTTAAGAGACTTAGCACTTCAAGATGCAGGGAGGAATTTGAGAGGTGCCACTACATAAGTCAAAATAATTGAGGTTATTCTTGTTGATTTTCATCAAGATTTTAAGTTCTCTGCCATGTTACAGGAGATTCTATTGGCGGTGGGAAATGCTGAAAATGTTATCCTTGCGGATATAAAGTTTATAAAACAACGATGTTTCTGCTTTCCTAAGAGAAAGCAGTAACACAACCTGAATCTGGATGTGCGTTTAAAAAGCGAAGAGCTAGTGCACTTTGCACAGTCCATCCTATCCAATGACCATCAGAACAGCTGCACATTGCTTCAGAGTGGACTTCGATGTGGACCATGACCAGACCTTCTCCTCCAGATCCAGCCAAGTCAGCAGAAGATCATACAGTTTGCAGCACCTTTGTCACCATCTCTGCAGTCCTAACTCACTGCAGGGCAGATCTGCCAGGTTACTGTCAAAAATTTAAAGGGCAGCCTGTGTTAGCCATGGCCTCAGGAAGGCAACGGTCAATCGTAATGTCCAAGCATGGATGGATGGTCTGAAGGACAGTGCCAGTTGGACATTGGTACCACCAGGGAAAAGGAGGTGGTGACACTTTGTAACTTCTGTCTTTGGAGAGATAGCGAATGTGGTGGGACAAGGATGGGACCTCTAAAATGGCCTGTGCTGGACCATATCCCTGCATTTCAACTAAGATGAAGGCCAGGCCAGGGAGGAGATACTGGAGAACTGTTCTTGGAGGAAATGGAAACCAGCTTTGTGCCCCTCTGTGAAAGAGTGGAAGGAAAAGGTGCTCGGGAATCACAGATGTCAGTCAACAGCCACCTCTTTGCTGTGATTTAAACCAACGTGGTAGGGAGAAAAGGACAACATGGCATGAGGTCATTGCATGTGGCTGCAAAGCACTCACAACAGCACTACTGTGGGGAAGGCAAGTCTTTCAAGTAGCTTCTCTAACCAGGTCTGAAGCTGGCCTCAATTCATGTCACTAAGCTCCTCTCCCTCTTCTCTGGAGAGAAGAGCTGGGCAGGTCTCAGACCAAAGTTATGCATCAGATGTTATTCTGCCCTATAGAAGTGGGGTCACTCGGGCAGCCTGGGTTGTCTCTGATATCAGCCTCTGCGTTACCTCATGTCCAGCCTGAAGACCTGGTTGCGTATTTTCCTCCTCTGCCACCAACACCAGACAGAACAGACTGCTTTCCTGCCATCTTCAGCCCCAGCTGCCATATTCCTAACTCTAAAGCCACAAAAACTGGCATATTTCCATTTTAAGACACGGGAAGCAAAGCAAGCCCTTTAGGCTTGAGTGAAAGCTCTTCACCAAAACTCAGATCCTCATAAATGACCTATCATCTCCTCTCCTGATGGCACAGCTCTCCCATGGCTAGCTCCTGCCTTGCACTTGCAAAAGATAGACAGGTATCTCACAGCTTTCTACAGCATCTCTTGCATCCCAGAAGCAGTCTGCTGGCCTGACCTGTGACCCCCTGGCATGTTGGGTTGTGGAACAGGAAAAAGGCCCTGGGGACAGACAGGGATGCACCCTCTCACCCACTCCAAATAAACCATAAAGAGCAGCCTAGCACCTTTCTCGTGTCAGGATCTCAGCAGGACACTCACATGATCTCATGGGGGAGGTACCTGAGCTGTTAACACACAGCCTGTGCTCTGGCAAGGCCAGGACCATCGCTCCCCTGCTGGCTGGAGGAAAGGCTGAAATGCTACCCAGATCTCAAGGATGTTGGTGACCTTACCAGCTCTTTTGCTTCCATCAGAAGATCTTCAACATCTGAGAAGCTGAAGCTGGCTAATGTGATGAACTGGCTGACGACAGACACAAACTTGTCGCCTGGTTGCTGAACCTGAGACTTCTGGAAGTCCAGCTCCTTTGAGTACAAAAAAAAAAAGGTAAATCTGGTCAGGGACACAAATCCCATCGGCCTCCAGTAGAGGCCGTTGGGTGTGTGCCTGCATCAGTGCCATGGGTACTGGCTGCACCACCACCGCTGCTCCCTCTTGCCACGTGTGAGACCACGGATCACCCCGTTTTACAATATCATGCCTGCAGCACACTTTTAAGGCTAAATCCTGAAGGAGAGACCATGGAAGCAGCATAATTTAGCAAGACAGCGAGTCCTTTGGGATACCTCCACCATTCCATCACCACTCCAGCCGGGCTGCAGAAACGCTCCCCAGCCCGAGCCCCAGCCCTCTGCGGTTTTACAGCCCTTGGCGCATCACAGGTCCTCCATGGGCATCATCACTAAACTTACTCAGCCTCCCTTGGCGTATTAGATATAAACCACGCACGTGCCTAACCTCATCGGGTAACTTCGGTGCCAACACAGCCCTGAGAGGACAGGCGCACGTGCAGGGCAGGAAGGAAAGACAAACAAATCTCCAGGATGTGAGATAACAGCAGCTCGGCTGGGAGCTCCCTTGCCTGCCTCCCTAAGGAGGGATGCCGTGGTGCTTGGAACCAGGCTGGTGTCTATGTGATTTAAATAATACTCACAGTCTCCACCGCTCTCAGGCCGCTCCTCAGAGTGTTTATTTCTTTCTCCAGCTCCGTCATGCTGTTGGAAATGGCAGGATGTTAATTTTCAGCCTTCCCCAGAAAATTCTACAGCTTTCCAACCAACTCGACCGTGTTTTTCCACTGTTTGCAGACCAGCATGTTCTGAGCAGCAAATTGGGCTGACAGCCTCTAAGCTAGGGTAGTCACCCATCTCAAAGTGGCTGCAGTTGCTTGCTTTAAAGCAAAGCACTTCTCTGTGTTTTTAATCAAGGGGACTGTGCAGGCTTAGCAAACTCAGCAGCCTCCAGATTGCTCCAAGCAAACGGAGAGCTCTGTCGGGCACAGATTTCTCTTCTTCTCTCAAGGGCCAGCAGAAGATAGGGTTGTTGCCCCACTGCACAGAGGACAATTTTTCAGGGAACTATGGTTAGGTGAATGCCATGCAAAGCATCCTTCCCAGCAGCAAGGTTTTCATGGAGGGAGACAACCCAAATATAGAGAAATAAAAATAAACCATCATGTCTGGCGCTGACTGTGTTTAGACAAGGCTCAAGCCCCTGATGAGCATTGAGTTCAAGTGCTTACGGGTTTCTACCACTACATCTGAGTGGAAGCTCTCTCACAAAGACTCGATGACCACAGGCTTGACGTCTTTCCAGGGGTGTCTGTCCTAGGGCTGAGGTCCCTGGAAATGCTGACGTCAGGTCATGGGGCAAGCGTTCCTGGCAGGTTTCGTCTGGGAAAATGCAGTTTTGGGAGCCCAGTGCTCCAGCAGTTCATTACTAGCGGTGGGATTGACAGAGGCAGCAACTTTGCTTCACAGCTGCAGGGCTGGGGGGAATTTAGGGGTTTCCAGAGCTTCAGAAACTTTTTGGTTTCACTCTAGATTGGACCAAACCCAAATATTACATATGGTGTCCAGTTTAGAGCAAAATGATAAAGTTGGGGGGTGGGGGGGGAAACCTCTGAGCAAACATTTTCTTTCCCATACACGTGTCTGTACAACAGCTGCAGATATACGAGCTTGGGAAAGCAGGAGCCTGCACCGGCGAGGGAGCGTGCCCTGCTCAAGCGTGTCCTTAGCCGATGCCTACGAGCGCAGCCGCCACACACTCCTCCTCGCACGCCAAGATTTGTCCTGTCGCTTTGTTTAGTCCCTATGGCTGACAATTATTTGACGTTTTCAACACGAGGATGCTTGCTTTGCACATTACAGATCTTCCGCGGGGAAGCCACTATTGCTGCAACTTTGGAACTTGAATGACCCTTGAGCTGCCATAAACTCTGTGCATATTTGCCATCCCCTCCCTAAAAAGGTGCGGTCTCAGGCCCTTTCCATGTCCATGGCTAACACGAACGCGTGCTGACTGCAGAGACGTGTGATCTTTGCTGTTTAGGTCCCCGAAGCTGCAAAGCCCGTAAGCTCCCGCTGAACTTTAAAACTGAAACAGAGCCTTATTGATTTCAGAGGGACTTCAGCACATACTTGAGGGCTTTGCAGCGCAACAGCAGATTCCTCCTGCACTTAAAAGTTCAGCGTGTGTTTAAGGGCTTTGCTGAATGGGGGCCTCCGTTAGCAAAGAGACGGCAGCAGCCTGCTCCAAACAGGTCACCGGGCAGGGATTAAAAGCTCGTTGTAAACAGCAGAAGCTCCATGTTGGTGGTAGAACGAGGGGCCAGGCAGGACCCGGAGGTGTGTGACCCCCTCGCACCGCTGCCTGGTCCTGCCCGCGCTGCAGGCAAAGCCTCCCCGCCACACGCAGATAAACAGCTGCCCTTTATCTGCAGCCACACCACAACCGCTTCCTCCTGGATTACTTAACGTACCATTAGAAATTAATTAAATGCTTCTGCGGTGAGATAACAACAGGAAACGGCTGCTTCAAGCAGCTCTCCTCCCTCGCGGTCGGAGGCTCCCAGCCCTTTGCTGCGAGGGCTGAGATTTAAAGCCACCAGGTGATGTTTGTTTTTGCGTCCCGGGCAGCCCTCAGGCCAGCGTGGCCACAGCACAGGGCCCAGCCCGGCGGCCAGCATCCAGCCGGGATCACGAGCTGGGAAGGACAACACGGAAAAGCAAGGGGAGAGGCGCTCCCGGCACTCCCTAGGCACCAGGTAAACCCCTGCTTACTTGACTTTGGCTGCCTGCGGGATGTCTCGCAGCTCCTCGTGCAGGCGGAGGACTTTGGGGTATTTCTTTTCAACAACAGTGATGAGATAATGCAGAAGGGTGATGTTCCTAGGAGAGAGGAGCAGCGAGGTCAGTGTGGTGGTACCACGGGGAGCTGACAGCTCAGAATCACAGAATCACAGAATCACAGAATAGTAGGGGTTGGAAGGGACCTCTGTGGGTCATCTAGTCCAACCCCCCTGCCGAAGCAGGGTCACCTACAGTAGGCTGCACAGGATCTTGTCCAGGCGGGTCTTGAATATCTCCAGAGAAGGAGACTCCACAACCTCCCTGGGCAACCTGTTCCAGTGCTCTGTCACCCTCAGAGGGAAGAAGTTCTTCCTCATGTTCAGACGGAACTTCCTGTGCCTCAGTTTGTGCCCATTGCCCCTTGTCCTGTCACTGGGCACCACTGAAAAGAGCTTGGCCCCATCCTCCTGACACCCACCCTTCAGATATTTATAAGCATTTATAAGGTCCCCTCACAGTCTTCTCTTCTTCAGGCTGAACAAGCCCAGTTCCCTCAACCTCTCCTCGTAGGGGAGATGTTCCAGTCCCAGCGCAGTTGAAAACTCTGGTTAAATCCCAACCCTGGTAATGAACTATTTTGGGATTTCTGCAAGGATGCTGCTTGCTGCTCGCTGCCTGTCTGGGGACATGGGATGGGTCTGTCTCATGCACAGCCACAGTGTAGAGCAGCCTGGTCCCTGCAAGCAAGGGCCACCCACAGGAGGGACTCAGGGGAGGTGATCTGAGCATCACCACTTCTGTCCTCCGTTGTCTTTACTGATGGATGAGACCAGGCAGGTTTGAGACCTGACCCAGCTTCTCTCGCTCTGTGCACGGAGCTCGGTGGAGGAGAGTGAATCAGGTGATGGCTGCGGAAGCTTGGCGGGGGCTGCAGAGGGGGTTCCCATGGGCCACCCACAGGAGGGACTCAGGGGAGGTGATCTGAGCATCACCACTTCTGTCCTCCGTTGTCTTTACTGATGGATGAGACCAGGCAGGTTTGAGACCTGACCCAGCTTCTCTCGCTCTGTGCACGGAGCTCGGTGGAGGAGAGTGAATCAGGTGATGGCTGCGGAAGCTTGGCGGGGGCTGCAGAGGGGGTTCCCATGGAGAGCAACCTGTGGGACCCCTCCTGCGGCCACTGCACCACAGCACAATGGCTCTTGGCTTCTCAAAGGGGGACAAAAGCATTTGGAGGATGATCCTCCCAATCAGCCTTGGCTGCCATCTAGCCAGCCCAGGAAGGAAAGCCCCCATCGATTCCTGTGCTGATCTGCACCTCAGCTTCCCTTTAAATCTGTCCTGCTCCAAAAATGGATGCTTGCATCATCGGATGTGACAGACGGGGCAGCAGGAGGGAGGGGACCATTCCCACCTACCCATGTCCCAAAAGGCAACACTAACGATCCCTCCATTCCCCCAGCATCCCAGGGCCCATGGACACTACCAAGGACGAGAGCAGGGGCTGCTCACTTGTCAATGCTGGACTTGGTGTCTGCGATCTTGTTGAGGCTGGAGATCTTAAACCCGAAGGCGTTGCCCCTCTGGCCTTTGTTCATGTAGTTCCCGAAGGCCAGGACCACTTCCAGCAGCTGCTGGAGGCTGCTGCTCTGCAGCACTGCCTTGGAGCCGGCACGGATGGCTGGAAGCAGAGAGGTGCGGGACGTTACCCCCTGCCCTGACAGCACACCGGGCCCTTGCAGCAACCCCATGGCCAAAGACTGGCCACCAGCTCCCTCCCTTCCCTGCATCACTGCAACCTCCACAGAGGGATGATGCTCTTCCTACGAACACTCCCTGTGCCAGCACAGAGCCCCTGAGCGACCTTAGGCAGGTCCGGTCACTTGCCTTCCACCTTGGGTTTGACTTCTGCAACTCTCTCTGCAAACTTCTTCTTGAAGTAGAGGGACTGCAGCCTTTGCTGATAATGGTTTATCCTGGACAAAAAAAAAAAGAGGTGCAGGTTGAGCGTTGCTTGCTCCAGGCGGAGCTCAGTTGCTCTGCTGCTCCCAGCTGTGTTTAAACGGTGATTAAAAAATAGTGATCACATTTCTCCCTGAAAGTATGCTGGGATGGGAAAAAATAACAGCTGTCCTGGGGTGGATCCAGGTGGGCTCCCAAACACATGCTTAAGCCTATCCCTAACTCAGCAGGTTCAACAAGTGCCTTTTTACACCCTATTGCTATGAACAAACAGCTCATTTACGACCACTCCTTAACCAAGACGCTGATGAGGTCTGCGCTCCCAACAGCTTTGTGATGAGCTGCGGCTGGACACAGACACACCAACTACCAACAATAACAAAACTGGACCTTCAGATCCCCAGAATGATGGCCGGGGCTGGAAAGCCACCAACACAGCCCAATCCAGCCCTTCCAAGGGCAAGACAGGGACTGCTCTGCTCATGTCAGTTGTATTTAGGCTAAACAAGATCTCACTTGTACGCAAATGGCAGTCTGATTTAAGTCATTTGGACCAAGCACTCACGGGAGACGTGCTCACAGACAAGGCCATGGGCTACGCTGCCGATCTGCTAATCAGAGGTGACAAAGACATCACACTCGGTTACAGACCACAGGGCAAATTAAAAAGCCATGCTGAAAATCAAAGAAAGTATTTGCATCGGCACGTCGTGCTTTCCAAAAGATGAAGGCACAGCAGCAACACTTGGGTGAGAGACTGCGAAGAAAGGTGACCTGCGATAGGGAAACTAATTCTGAGCATCTTCCAGGCCCAAGGGCTCAGGTCTGAACTTCACAGCTCCATCCTGCCTGTCTTTGACACTCAGCAACGACACGGTGCGTCGCCCCGGTGTTCACCGGCGCGTTTCTCAGGGAGGGCAGGAGCGTTTCTATTTCTGATCTCCCAGTACGATCTCAGATTAGAAAACTCACTGACTTTGCAAGCAACTTGCTTGAAGTTCAGCTAATAAATTCAAAGAGCTCAATACTCAGTTGGATTTAAATAAGGAGCTTCAAGATTTCAAACCAGCACCTCTAGAGGATGTGCATGCAAAAGATAAGGTTATTCATCCCTGAAGACTTCTGAGCCTTAAATGATTGCTACCAGGAGCAGGAAGAAATGACATTTCCTTTCCATCTCATATATTCTCAGAAGCCCTAGGGACGAGTGAGGTGAGGAGTGGGACTCATCTACACAGTAGGGCAAAATTTACATACATCAGTCTTGAGTATTCATCAGGATATCACAGAATCACAGAATCACAGAATAGTAGGGGTTGGAAGGGACCTCTGTGGGTCATCTAGTCCAACCCTCCTGCTG